AGGCTGCAGTCCTTGACCCTCTGCAGCAGGTGCTTCAGGTCCTCTTCAGTTTCAAAAATGCTTATTAAAAAGATGTTTGAGCTTGTTGCTTTTAACAGGAGAATCTTTTTCACTGAAAAATGTATTACGTTATTGCAATGAATAGGGGATATATTTCCTCCTTTTAAATGACCTTACCATACCAGCTCCCCACCTAACATCTATATGTGTTTTCTTAAAGAGACACTGGAGGCCTATGTGGCCCAGAGAATCAAGCAGAAGCTCTGCAACTATGTATCAACTTAATAATATATGATATTGTAATCGCTTCATGAGGGGGGAAAGCTATGTTCAACATGTTGCTTCCGTCTTCGTTCACCCATGAATTAAATATCCCTGAGCTTTGTGTTCTGTGTATCCTGAATGCTAATATCTCCCTCATTTGCTTCCTGCTCCAAATGAGGCTTGTTGGTTAATTATTCAGAGACATTACTGGATGCCATTTGCTATCCATAAGTAGCAAAGTATCTAGGAAACAGATATGTATGAAGAAATGGAATAAAGTGTTACTGAGAAGAAAAACATCCCTGGGCTTTTCAAAACTGAGCTCTGAATCCAATATTGTAATATGATCTGTTCACTTTGATAACCTTTCTCATATTAAAACACATGGAAGATATTTTCAATTCTGAAAATGAATAGAGTTTTTTTTAATTAATCTCACACCCCAGCTTCTTAATTGCTAAAGTATTCTGAGCAGGTATTAAGAAATTTAGAGGGACCAGATCTACTCTGCATACAGCTAGTTAGGAGTAGTAGCAAAAATGAACACCTCACTGTGTATAAAATACACTTGTTGTTTGTTAGTGTTATGTGCTGTCTAGTTGCTTGTGACTAATAGGGACCCTATGTGCAGTAGCCCTAAACCCTGCTCTATCCTGTGCCAGCCTTTTTGTCTCTGTGTACACACCTACTCACTAGTTGTTGTTGCTGATTGCCATTGAGATGAGGAAATGGGTCTGTGCACTGGCCTGGGGCCTGGGGCCTTGGAGTCTCCCTCCACTCTGGAAGTTGGCTCGCTGGGTGGGGTCTCGATGGCAGTCTTGTCTTGGTGGCAGTCAGGCAAGGGAAGTTTCTGGGGCCCTTTTTGTAGTATGTTGCTGTTCTTTTTCCCCCTTAAAGTTGGTGGCCATGAGCCTTAGACTAAGGGTAAGGGTGGAGGCCTACTTGAGTGAGAGTGTGTGATTTTAAAAAACCCTCTAGTATTAAAACAAAAACAAAAACAAAAAAAACCTACATCCCTCCCCCCCCCCAAAAAAAAACAAACCAAACAGCCTTTCATTTACCGTCATACAATACAATATCTTGGGGAGATATAAATGCTTAATACTAACTACAAACTGAATGTTTGGTGGCGGTACATTCTGTTTGAAAGACATGGTGGCCTTAAAAAAACCTTCTAGTTAGATTGAAAACATACATATAACAGTATCTCTGCTGG